TTCACACATCAATCATTCATATAGGCATTAATCATAATTGAATCAACCAAACATCATGCTATGAACAAAACAGCAAAACAAATAACACTGCCAGGTTCGCCAACCTTCGCCTGGCGAAGCCACGCAGCGAATGCTCGCTGGCCTTTGCCTGGCGAACTTCCCAGCGAAGTCCACTGGGAGTAATTCTGGAATTACTCGCTGAGGCTCGCTACACACTCGCCTGGCGAACCTTCGCCAACTAACCTCGCCTGGCGAACTTGCCAGCGAATACAGGGTGTTAGCTTCTGACTTGCTTCGCTACAGCTCGCTGGACTTCGCCTGGCGAAGCTTCGCTGCCATTCGCCTGGCGAGCCTGTGAAGACAGAACTTCCATGGCTGCTCCGAAGCCCAAACTCCACACAACCAACCGATTAAATCCAAACCAGTCTCAGTGGCACAACCCAACCATCACCCGACTAAACTACATCGTCTAATCCGAGTTCTAACCGATTAAAACCTCACTCTACTCACCAAACCAACTTCTAACCTAAGTGGGAAAAGAGTAGAAACTCTACAAAATCCAAACACATACACATACAATCATATACATTAAGAGATGATAGAGTTTCACACCCTTACCGATCGATTGCAAGCCTTGGTGATGATCCCTTGATGATTCTAGGTTTTCCTCTCCACTTTCTCTTCTCTTTCTCTTCTCTTCTTTTTTTTCTCTTGTTTTTCTTCTTATGTTACTATCTTTCTTTCTTTTCCTCTCTTATTCTATTTCTATCTCTATTTCTTTCCTCTAAAATTCTTTCCAACACTTACCAATCAATTCTCACACTAAGTTGCTAAATGTCTAAAATGCCCTTTTTACTCTAATTCCCCGAAAACTCTCCGAATCGGTAAAAATAGATAAAATAAGCAAACACCACATAGCAATATATAATTTCTCAATTTAAAACAAACATCAATTAAATAAATTAAAAGACTCAACAATTAATGGGAATTCAGAATCGGGGCGTTACAGGTCTCAATCACCTGAATGCGAGAGGAAAGGGTTTCGATCGCGCAGGGGCGAGAAGAAAGAGGAAGCAGGCTTAACACGCCTAAACGGGAAGGAAGTCGGGACACACACTCAAGAACCTAAGGCGTAGGAGCGAGTGCGTCGTATATCACCCAAGGGGTGCTAGACTAAACACTCTAGACGATTGAGGGGAGACCGCTCAATTGTCATTTCCTACGTATCTAGCGCTACAGCTCACAACACTCGACGGTTTGCATGAAGACTTGAATAAGAAAGATGATATCGAACGAAGCGGCTCCGCTGGCTCTTGACACTGTGTGCAAGCTCCATTCCAATCTTCTCCTCTCTGGATCCTTGATGACGACGTTCGAATCAGAATCAATGTAACACTTAGACCGTCATGGTTCGACTTATACGAGAAATCGAACTCTAAGAGGTAGCGTATCGATATCCGTGTCAAAGACAAGATAGAGAAATGATATCAAAAATCATTCTCCAATTGAATCATGCCACACGGCCAGCCAAAAAATAAAATTAGAAGTAAAAATCGGATAGCAGAAAAGAACTGAGGAGAGAAATCCATAACGACAAGGAAATAATATGCTACTCCTAAAATAAGCAATAAATCTCTAATAGAAAATACTCTAAAGAAATATTAAGGAAATTGCATAATAGAAAATATAATGGAAATTCTATCCCAGCTCTATATATTCTATAATTCCCTATAAAGAAAATAATACCTGAAAATTCTATATAAAATCCTATACTATTCTATAATTTCCTATAATTTTCTAAAAAGAAAAATAATGCCTAAAAAATATAGAATATAAATTCTATGCTAAAAATATATGTAATAAAACTACAAGCAAATACAAGCAAATGTCCAATACAAAAGAAATAAAAAAATAAAAGGGAAGGGGGGTACATCAGCGGAACAGGGGGTGAAGCCTGAAAAAACAGTTGGGCTTGAGCCCACAATACATCAGAAAAAACAAAGGGAAATGGGGGTGCACGCAATGGAAAAACGGAGGTGCAGCCAAGAATTCGTTGGGCCCAGCCCAACAATCAACAAAAACTTCAGCAGGGGTGCGTTTGGGGAAACGGAAGTGCATCAGCAAAAAAGTTGTTGTTAGGCCCTAAGCCCATCTGTCACAAAGCAATGGCAAGGAAAGGGGGTGTCCAAGGAAAATGAAGGGTGTGAGTTCGTAATACCGCAAATTGGGCCATAGGCCCAACTAACCCAAAGGGGACCCCTTCGTCTTCCTTCCTTCTCCCATTTCACAGAAACCCTACTCTCCTCTCACAACCTCAGTCGCCCCTGTCCGTTCCTCAATCCCTCCGCCTCAACCATCAATCTCGTTCACACAAACCAAAAGAGCGCGTTCGTTGAAGATCCAGATACAAAGATGATTGAAAGAAAGACTATCTGGAGATGCAGGTTCGTTGAGAATTTCTGAAGATCTTGCAAAGTTGGTTGATGAATCAAGAGGTGTGGTTGCGAGGGAGTTTCTCGAAGACACGGTATGGTGATGTTGATATGAAGGCTGGACACTCATGGAGTTCATGGAGATTCAACGAAGGTTTAAAGATTCGACAAAAAATCTGGAAAAATGTGAACGGACTGGCAATGAACTTGATGAACTCGGAGGAAGATCTTTGAAGATCTCAATGATCTATGATGAATCGTGACGAAGATCGTTATGGAGCTCTGAGTTTTGATTTGGGAAAACGGTTGAGATGCACAGACGAAGCTTCTTGGTGGATGAGCATGATGAATCTGGAAACGGTTGAAGATTTCTATCAGTTTCTGGAAAAAACTCACAAGATCGATGAAGGTTCTTCGAAGCTTTCTAGGAAAAAGATGAGGATCTTGATGAGTGATGAAGATCTGGATGATTCTGGGAGATCTGATGAAGGTTCTCGAGGAACGATGAGAAAGTTTCTGGACTTTGATGATTTCTGGAGAAGTTCTCCCTTGAGGTCCTGGAAAAACTTGGAAGGAACTCGATGTTTTCTGGCGAATGATTGAAGAACTGATGATGAATGTTCATGGTGAAGACGATGAAGGAGATGAGTTGGGTGAAGATTCACGGTGGAGAAGTTGAACTTCTGGAAAGATTGTGGAGTTTCCGGCGACCGTTATGGATTCCGGTGACGGTTACAGAGGTTCCGGCGAACCTCCAGTGGTGGTTGCATGGCCGGCGGTGAAGGGTGAGGGTGAGACAGGTGTGAGACACGTGGTGATGAGGTGGGAGAGAGAGACGGACGCGTGGAGCTCATGCAGGGTGTGAGTGTGTGATGTGGCGTCCGGTGAATGATGTGTCGTCCAGAGAGAGAAAGACGTGGGGACACTTATACTGTGCCAAGTGGCAACTGAATTTGGGCCTCTAAACCTGGACATCTGGCCCGCGAGACTGACTTAATTAAATCCAATTAATGGTTGATTAATGGTTTAAAGACTCAATTAAAAATGCTAATGATTCTGACTAAACTACTCACTTAATGATGATTAATGACTAAACATGGATGATTAAGACTCAATTAACACTAAACCGAAAATTAACACCAGCTAATTAAAACTGATAATTAAAACTAGTTAAAATTGATTAATATCTAATTAAAAAAATGATTAATATCCTAATTAAAAAAGAGATTAATATCCTAATTAATATCTAATTACTAATCTAACAAAGAAATTAAAATCTATTAATTTCTATTATATTCTAACAATTCAAGTAATGTCTAAAAAAAGATTAAATCTATTAATTCCTAAAACAAATCAATTAATATCTATATTAAAATCTAAAGAGTTAAAATTTATTAATAAAACCTATTGATATCTAACAAATTCAAATAATATCTAAAAAGAAATAAACCTAGTAATTTCTAACAAACTTAAATAAAATCTAGAAAAAAACAAAGTCTATCAATTTCTAAATAATTAATATCTAGAAAAATACCTATAAAAAATAAAAAACTATTTAAAATCTATTTAAAACCTATTTAAAATCTATTTAATTAAGGAAAAATCTAGAAAATGCAATAAAGCCAATTAAATCAGTAAAAAAAAGATGCGAGAATATAGCGAAATAAATGGTAAAAACCGGACACCGAAATGTCCTCAAAAACAACAGCAAGAGCTGAAAACACCGAGAAGAGCACAGCTTCCACCACAAAACCCGCTTATTCGAACTAGTTTGAACGGCCTGAAACGCCAGGGGAAGGCTGTAATCCCGATAAAGTCAATCTGACTGAAAAAATGCAATGAATGCGCTATGCGGAAGCAAAATGTAAAATAAGTCGAAACATAAGTCAAATAACGAGAAATGGTTGGTCAAATTTTGAGGTGCAACAGTCTGGATCGAGTGTTCGCCATGCGAAGGATTGTTCGCTATGCGAACTCGCTATTACAGCAAAACACTGTTACGCACCAGTAGCAAAACCAACCCAAAAGTCCCTACGATTTCCTTCCCCAACGCACGCACGCACGCGCGCACACACACACATATTGTTGCACGAGAAGACAGGCAATGGAGGTTTTATTTACCTCTTAATCGAACTTCAAATTACTAAAGTTTCTTTCCTCTGAAAATCGTATGATTAAAGGGAGAAAAAAAAAGACAGTATCGACAATATATGAAAGACAAGTAAAGTTACTGAACATTGCATAATCATATCATGAACAATTCGTATTTTGATGTTCCTTGCTATCAATAAATTGGGACTTCAACAACAACCGCCAAGTCTTATCCCACTAAGTGGGGTCGACTACATGATCAAAATTCAGTATAATTTTATCCTCTAAATCAATTGTGAACAATTACTATGATGAATAAGGCATTTTGCCAACTCCTACCTATATCATTCTGCAGTTTCAGACAAATATACGCAACATTGCATCAATGCATCAAAAGGTAGTGAATTTATGTAGTTTCAGCAGAGTTGCCTTATAAAACATCTGCAAGTTACTGCTTCACAGAATCACAGTGGAAGTCTACTTTCCTTTCTTTGAAAATTTTGGATTCTTGCACATTCTTATACATTGGGGGGTGACCTCTACTAATTCATCTTCTTGGATGTATTCAATGCAGTCATCCAAACTATAATCCAATGGTGTATCAAGAATCACTGCAGAAGGGAATAAGGCAAATTATTTTTTTTAATCAAATATTACTAGCTTACTGATAATTTACTAGAACTTCATTTTTAATATATGTATTTCACATAACGTGTTAATTGCAATGGAGCTGCTTCTCACCTGATTGTTCCTTGTTGGAACGAATATTCGTTGCAGCTTTTCTCTTGCAAACATTCAAGGACAAGTCCCCTGAGCGTTGATGGATACCAATAATTTGACCTTTATAAACTTCTGCTCCAGGACCAATAAACATCTGCCCCCTCTCCTGTGAACTAGCAATTGCATAAGAAGTACTCGTTCCGCCCTCAAAAGCAACCTGAAATTCCAGTACGTATTATTAATGAATGAAGGAAACATTCACAAATAAAAGTGTTGGATTTCAAAGCAAAGTCATCCGTATTAATATTAATATTATGATCGGAAATGCAGACATTACCAGTGAGCCTAAATCTCGAGTATTCATGTCACCAGCCCAAGGCCCATAGCTATCAAACACAGTGTTGAGAATAGCTGTCCCTCGGGAAGCAGTTAAAATTGCATTACGCAATCCAAGTAGACCACGGGTTGGGATCTTATATTTGAGTAGTGTAGTTCCTTCCGATCTACCAAAGATAAATATTCAAATGATTAGGACGGAATACTATATTAATCTAGGTTAAAACTAAACTGTAGGATAAACTGTAATTTAGAGAGTGAATTCATTCATTGAAATAAATGATATACAAAATCAACATATTACATTTTGATCAAATACAAGCACAAAATTACAAACAATGAATCTGTGAGAACCTATGATTATGACACAAAAATAATTGAATATAATGTTGGAGTGACGTGAGAATGCAGCATTTCTTTTTTTTAGAAGAGAAAGCAGCATTTCTAGGAGGGATAAGGATACAGGTAAATCAATATCAATACAAAATACAAAACCACAAACACACAAAACCACAAACATACAAAACCACCACATGACTAGAACATCCTAAGAATAATGGAGATTCTCTAAGAAAAATTGCTTTATTACAATGTAATGTTTCCATAATAAAGCTATAACTTTAGTGGTAAATTATATCATAATAAATGTGGTAGAATTACAATTTACATACCCAACTCCTTGCATATCAAACATTTGCCCTCGTCTCCCGCCAAGAAGTTCAACAACAGCTCCCATGTGCACTTCAGGTACCTCCACAGTTGCAATCTGCAACCATTCCACAAATTAAAATATGTATGAAATGTGTGAAGGGACTCAAACTTTCTCGGAGAAAACTCAGTACAGTATATCATAACTTAAAGCTTTTAAGCAACTCATAGCTTTGACTAACAATCCTAATTGTTAGCATAAATGGAAAGAACAAAGTTCCTGCATTTGATTGTAATAATATTCTAGTTCAACTCATAAAAAATGAATAGACACTTCTTATGTAGAAAATGGGTAACCTAGAAGAATCGTAAAGTTACCACCATGACAGGGTCAAAGGAAGAGTTAGAACCATTGTGAATTTATTGTAGGAAACATAGCCATGTAATTGCTAAGCCTTGCATTTCTTATATAACATCATCTTAATATATTTGTATAACCGATAATGTTGATTCTATGCTTAAAATGAAATTAGAAGCTAATTTTTACGATTGTGATTATTGATTATTGGATAATGTTGAAGGCCATCATAAAGATCCTTCATGTGCTTTTAGTAACACAAAAGGATGGGATTTTGCCACGTGCAATTACACAATAGATTAGAATAGGAATATTTATAGTTTCCAACCGACCTTCATGTAGCAGACACGGGAAAAACCAAAGCAGTTAATCTTGTCAATTAGGCTAGATTTTATCCTTAAATAAGCATATCAGTTATACATGAAAATAACTAGGATTCAGCATCTGTCGAATGATTGAGCCATGTATAGTCATTTTTACATTTAAATAGCAATAAAAATTGATTGGAAATTTACCTCATACGGCTCCAACACTTTGTCATTAACCTTCTTGTTGATAACTTTGGGAGGCCCAACCATGAATTCAAATCCTTCCCTTCGCCTGAAGATTGCAATATTATTTCAAAAAATTGGATTATTGACGAAAAATAGATTACTCTCTCACACACACCACACAGACACACTTACATGTTTTCAATGAGTATGGTGATATGCAAAGTTCCACGCCCGCTGACAATGAATGTATCGGCTGTTTCACCATCTTCAACCTTCATAGCCAGATTTCGCTCAAGCTCACGATAAAGCCTGTCCCTTAAATTCCTACTGGTAACATACTTTCCCTGGAAAGTGCAAAATAAGTTTTAGTCATTCTCTTGCGTACTATGAAACAAATTAAAAAATTACCACGAAAGCCGAATCTAATAGCAATTATTGTGTCCAACAGAAATAAAATATCATTCTATATACATACCTCACGGCCGACAAAAGGTGAAGTGTTTATGGAGAAAGACATTTTCACTGTTGGTTCTTCCACTTTGATGGACGGTAGTGCCTTCCCAGTCAATTTATCCGCAATTGTCTCCCCAATCTGAGAGGCAATGGCTAATAAGGATACTGAAATACAATATTATGCACTTCATCTAAAAACTCTCGACCTTTACCTGAATATCAGAAATTCCACATACTGCACATATATCCCCAGCCTCCACCCTTTCAGCTGGGACCCTAAAGAATTTCTCGTACACATAAAGCTCGCTAACTCTTGCATATCTACATGAATCTTCTGAAGTACAAACCTGGGCGAAACCATGCTATGAGTGGTAAAGCAAAATTGAAATTAAGGCCTCAATATTCTCTTCTCCATCACTCCCAAAATTGAAAAGGAGTCATACATATGAGAATAGTGAGTTAGTGAATGTGATTGTTATTTAGCAAACTTCACTTATTATGCACAAATACTCATCACCAAGTAAAATTAGTGAAGCATTACCATGGAGGACTTCAGAAATTGAACAATAAAATAAAGGAAAAGGGATACACACCTTGACTTCCATTCCTTTTTCTAAAACCCCAGCTTCCAAGCGCCCAATTGCTATACGCCCTTTATGTCCTTCGTACTCGGTACTTGTGACCTAGTTGATACTACAGGTCAGATGATGTATATATACTTCACGTAATTTAGTCATGTTTAAATGTGAAAATTGAGAGTTTATTGGTATTTTGAAATATTTCGTTGTCCACTAAAACTATAATCTTCGACTAAAGATCATATATCCTACAAACTTCATAAATGGCAGTGTCTACAAGGAAATGGTATCATCCAAGTAACACAGAAATTAGACAGGATTGTCAAGCATATTTTACCTCAACTGAATAGAAAAGACCGAGAAACAAAATATATATTAAAAACAAAATATAATTTAAAAAAATTTTAAAAATAATAAAAAAAAAAAAAAAATCTACTAACAAGCATTTGGAGTGAGCCATCTTTATCAATACGCGGTCCAGGGATACATCTCATGATGGATTCAAACAGTGGCCCAAGGTCGTCTGCCAGATTTTCAGGAGACAGCCCTGCTTTCCCTTTAATACCACTTGCATATATTACCTGAAAGTCACACTGCAAAAACAGAGGGAAAAAAAAAAACCAATCTTATAGATTTTATCCTGTTGATATTTGTAAATATATAGTGTTAAGAATATTTGTATATAAAATAGTCTTACATCGACTATATCATATAATTAGTTATAATCTATTTATATATAATAATGTCTCCGTAGTGCTTTTCAAAACACACAGTTTATTCAAATGTCTCTTAGTCTCTTGTATTTTAACATGGTATCAGAGCCTATCGATCGAACCTTGAGCAGTCCACTGTTTAAATCCACATACTGATAGGACCCAGCTAGTTGAGAAAGAATTGCCACGTGAGCAGCTGATTTACAAAGAATCAAGTGGAACCCAGACTTGGAAAGTTTATTCTAGAAGGAAGGGTAAGAAGGGAATTGGTGGCTAGTTGGTTACAAGAATTATGACGTGGCTTGAGTGGAGAAAACACCCTGCATTCCGTTTCCACAATATAAGGAATCAGAGAGAGAGAGAGTAGAGCTTATCTTGGATTATAGTGATTTAATAGTATGTATAGGGGGCTCTAGCTTTCCTATTAGGAGCATAGCTCTTGTCAGATCTAGGGTTACATTCCCTTTTTCTATACCTGTTTCCATTTCCATTCAGTATAATAAAGCTCTCTTACCTTCTGTTTGCTTGTTTGCTTGTGTGTACTATTACATTCATAATTTCCTTTTCTGGTTCGTAACAAGTGGTCCGACCTACCGGATTCCGACGACGGAGCCAGTGAATGCCACCTAAGAAGGTGACTTTAGAGATTACGGAGGTGCAATCAACTCTTGCCGAGGTACAGAACTCGGTGACGACAAACCATGCTAATTTGATAGCAATGCTAGAGAAATGCTTGGGTAAGTCGTTGACAGGGGAAGGGACTCCTATGAGTACTGTTGTCAACAACCGTCATGGAGACTCTTTGACAGAGTATCGTCAATCTGTTAAGAAGGTGGAGCTGCCGGCGTTTGACGGTGAGGATCCGGCGGGATGGATCTCACATGCTGAAGTATATTTTCGTGTCCAGGACACGACACCGGAGATGAAAGTGAGTTTGGCTCAACTGTGTATGGAGGGAACAACAATTCATTTTTTCAATTCCTTTGATCGGAGAAGAAGAAGCGTTGACATGGGAAACGTTGAAAGAGGCATTGTTGGAGAGGTATGGAGGACACGGTGAGGGTGATGTTTATGAACAATTGATGGAATTGAAGCAAGAGGGAACGGTTGAGGAATACATCACTAAGTTTGAATACTTAACGGCTCAGATTCCGAAACTTCCAGAGAAGCAATTTCGAGGGTATTTCTTACATGGGTTGAAGACAGAGATTAGGGGGAAGGTAGTAGCTTGGTGGCAATGGGAGAGATGAACAGGACCAAATTGCTCAAAGTCACCAGAGCTGTTGAGAGGGAGGTGAAGGGTGGAAGTGGTTCAGCCTTTAATCGGGGGCCTAGATCTGGGTATAATCCAGCTCATAATGGGTCTGCAGGAAGGAAAGCTGAATCTGATTGGGTCATGATAAAAGGAAGAGACGGTGGGTCAAATGGGGGTGTTAAGAGTGGAGTAAGTGGGCTCAAAGGAGACAAACAGGCCCAAAATGAAAGAAAACAGACTGGGCCTCGTGATAGGGGTTTCAAACATTTGTCTTATAATGAGTTGATGGAAAGGAAGCAAAAGGGGTTATGCTTTAAGTGTGGAGGTCCATTTCATCCTATGCATCAATGCCCGGAAAAACAACTTAGAGTTTTGGTTGTGGAGGAGGGCGGATATGAGGAGGATGAGACCAAATTCTTGGCTATAGAGGTGGATGAAAGTGATGAAGAGGAGAAGGTAGAGATGAGTGTACTTAATTTGCATCACATTGCACATAATACTCATCATACCATGAAATTCCAAGGAGCAATACAAGGAGTAGAGGTATTGATTTTGGTGGATAGTGGGGCAACACATAATTTTATTTCTCATAAATTAGTGCATCAAATAGACTGGCCAGTTGATACTACACCTCAAATGACGGTTAAATTGGGAAATGGGCTCCAAATAGCAACACAGGGGGTGTGTAGAGGAATGGAGTTGTGTATTGGGGAATTTAAATTGGACTCAGAAATGCATTTATTTGAACTAGGGGGAATTGATGTGGTTTTAGGCATTGAGTGGCTTAAAACATTGGGGGATACTATTACTAATTGGAAACAACAATGAGTTTTTGGAGTGAGAAAAAATGGGTGACTCTTAAAGGACAGGAGGGGTACATTAAGTCAACAGTGGCTTTACAAAATATATTGAGTAAGTCCAGGCCCAATACGCCAGATTTGCTGCGGACCGTAGAGAAAACGAAATCCAAAGAGACTGAAAAAAACACTTTGTCTGGCCAGCAACAAATGGAGTTGGAGAACGTATTGCGTAAATACGATCAAGTGTTCCAAACAGTGTTAGGTCTTCCTCCAAAAAGAAATAAAGAGCGTGCGATCAACCTTGTGGAAGGACAAGGAGCAGTAAACGTGAGGCCATACCGTTATCCCCACCATCACAAGAATGAAATAGAGAAGCAGGTAAAGGAGATGTTAGCCACGGGAATCATTCGCCACAACACAAGTTCGTTCTCAAGCCCAGTGATTTTAGTGAAGAAGAAGGATTGCACATGGCGAATGTGCATTGATTATCGCGCCTTAAATAAGATCACTGTACTTGACAAATTCTCTATACCTGTGATCGAAGAGTTGTTGGATGAGTTGCATGGAGCAAAAGTTCTTTTCGAAATTGGATTTAAAATCGGGATACCACCAAGTGAGGGTGAAGGAGTCTGATTTGTGCAAAACAGCTTTCAGGACACATCAAGGGCATTATGAGTTCCTTGTGATGCCGTTCAGACTCATGAATGCTCCATCAACTTTCCAAAGCCTAATAATGATGTTTTTCGTTCCCTATTGAGGAAACATGTGTTCTTCTTTGGTGACATCCTCATCTATAGCAAGAGCTGGGAAGCGCATGTGAAGCATTTAGAGGAAGTGTTGAGTTTGCTAGCTAATCACAGCCTCGTAGCTAACAAGAAGAAGTGTTTTTTTGCCCAGCAGAGTGTGGAGTATTTGGGACACTTGATCACAGAGTACGGTGTAGCTGTAGATCCTGGAAAGGTGGCCAGCGTGATTCAATGGCCACAACCTAAGAATGTCAAAGGGGTGAGAGGGTTCTTAGGACTCACAGGATATTACAGGAAATTCATAAAGGATTATGGAAAAATTGCTAGACCATTAACTGAGCTTACCAAGAAGGATAGTTTCAAATGGGGAGTGGAAGTTCAACAAGCCTTTGAAGAGTTGAAGGAGAGGCTTACGTCAGCACCGGTGTTAGCCTTACCGGATTTCTCCAAGAGTTTTCTGATTGAGTGTGATGCTTCAGGAGGAGGAATAGGGGCGATCTTGATGCAAGATAAGAATCCAATAGCTTATTACAGCAAGGCCCTTGGTGTGAAAATTTTAGCTAAATCTGCATATGAAAAAGAATTGATGGCAGTAGTTTTAGCAATCCAGCACTGGAGACCATACTTATTGGGAAGAAAATTTGTAGTATCAACTGATCAAAAAAGCCTCAAACAGCTACTACAGCAGAGAATTGTAACTGCAGAACAGCAGAACTGGACTGCTAAATTGTTGGGTTATGATTTTGAAATTGTGTACAAGCAAGGTAAACTGAACAAGGGAGCAGATGCCTTATCCAGAATTCATGAAGGAGGGGAGTTAGCTACCACGAACTACCAATGGAGATGGCTTCAAGAAGAGCAGATTAAAATAGAAAATCAATAAGATGAGAGGTTACAGAGGATAATAGCAGGGGCTCAACAGGATGCGAGGGCATGGCCTCGTTATGAGTACAAACAAGATGTCTTGATGTATGAGGGTAGGTTGGTGATTTCCAATAAGTCCTTGTTAATTCCTACACTGTTAGAGGAATTTCACTTAACACCCCAGGGAGGACATTCGGGGTTCTACAAGACTTATAGAAGACTCGCTAACAATGTGTATTGGATAGGCATGAAAGGAACCGTACAAGAATTTGTGAGAAGGTGCTACATTTGCCAAAGACAGAAGTACATAGCTTCATCTCCAGGAGGGTTGTTACAACCTCTATCCATTCCTCATCAAATTTGGGAAGATATATCGATTGACTTCATCACCGGGTTGCCAAAATCAAAAGGTTTCGAAGCTATTTTGGTGGTGGTAAACAGGTTGTCCAAGTACTCTCACTTTATTCCTCTGCGACATCCGTATACTGCTAGGAGTATCGCTGAGGTATTTTGCAAAGAGGTGGTCAAACTTCATGGCATACCTCTTTCCATAGTGAGTGACAGGGATCCCATTCTTATGAGCAGTTTTTGGAGGGGGTTGTTCAAACTGCAGGGGACTAAGCTGAAAATGAGTTCCGCATATCACCCCGAATCGGATGGTCAGACAGAAGTGGTTAATAGGTGTTTAGAGACCTATTTGAGATGCTTCATTGCGGATCAACCTAGGACATGGGTATCTTGGATACACTGGGCCGAGTATTGATTCAATACAACTTTTCATGCTGCCACCGAGAGGACACCATTTGAAGTAGTTTATGGGAGACCACCTCCAAAACTAATTCAATGGACTCAAGGAGAGACTAGAGTAGAAGCCGTGCAGAGAGAATTGTTGGACAGAGACGAGGCTGTGCGACAATTGAGGAACCAATTGTTGAGAGCACAAGAGAGAATGAAGAGTCAAGCTGATAAGAAACGCACTGACAGGAGTTGTGTGTGGGGAGTGGGTGTTTGTCAAGCTTAGAGCTCATAGGCAGCAGTTGGTAGTGACCAGGATTAATGATAAATTAACAGCAAGATACTACGGTCCTTACCCCATTATTGAGAAGATTGGAGCAGTGGCATACAGACTGAAGTTACCTGAGGGGTCTAGAGTGCATCCTGTTTTCCATGTATCATTATTGAAGAAAGCTGTGGGAAGTTATCATGAAGAGGATGAGTTACCAGAATTATTGGAGGAACAGACTGAAGTGTATGAACCAGAGGCGGTACTAGCTCCTAGGAAGGTGAAACAACAAGATGAAGAAATCAGACAAATCCTAGTACATTGGAAGGGCAAGACAGCAGAAGAGGCAACTTGGGAGGATGAGTTAATGATCAGAAGCCAATTTCCAAAGTTTGGCCTTGAGGACAAGGCCATTGCTGAAGGAGAGGGTATTGATAGGACCCAGCTAGTTGAGAAAGAATTGCCACGTGAGCAGCTAATTTACAAAGAATCAAGTGGACCCCAGACTTGGAAAGTTTATTCTAGAAGGAAGGGTAAGAAGGGAATTGGTGGCTAGTTGGTTACAAGAATTATGACGTGGCTTGAGTGGAGAAAACACCCTGCATTCCGTTTTCACAATATAAGGAATCAGAGAGAGAGAGTAGAGCTTATCTTGGATTATAATGATTTAATAGTATGTATAGGGGGCTCTAGCTTTCCTATTAGGAGCATAGCTCTTGTCAGATCTAGGGTTACATTCCCTTTTTCTGTACCTGTTTCCATTTCCATTCAGTATAATAAAGCTCTCTTACCTTTTGTTTGCTTGTTTGTTTGTGTGTACTATTACATTCATAATTTCCTTTTCTGGTTCGTATCACATACCAACTCCAAAAAAAAAAAGAGTGCTGGAAATAATTTATATAGAGTGGCACCCCTCACCTTATCAACCAGTTTTGTAAGGTTGTGTTATGCCAAACTCTAATATGGTATCATAGCAATCATCTGGATTTGTTGCTCAGGGAGAGTCATCGAATATGGTTTGTAGGTTACACAGGTCTCTTTATGATCTTAAGCAATCTCCGAGAGCTTGGTTTGCCAGATTCAGCACTGTAGTACAACAATTTGGTATGATCCGTATTGAAGTTGACCATTTTGTTTTTTATCGCCACTCACCCCAAGGGTGTATTTATCTTATTGTGTATGTAGATGACATTGTCATAACTGGTAGTGATCAACAGAGAATACTCCAGTTGAAACAAATCTCTCAAAATAATTTCAGACAAAAGATCTTGGTAAACTCCGTTATTTCTTAGGTATTGAAGTAGCTCAATTTAAAGATGGCTTAGTGATTTCTCAGCGGAAATATGCTATGGATATTTTGGAAGAAACAGATTTGTTAAATGCTAAACCAGCTGATACTCCTATGGATTCAAGTGTTAAACTACTACCCAATCAGGGGGTGTCTCTATCTGACTCAAGAAGGTATAGGAGATTGGTTGGAAAGTTGAATTATCTCACAGTCACTCGTCCGGACATTTCTTTTGCAGTCAGTGTGGTAAGTCAGTTCTTAAATTACCCTTGTCAGGAACACATGGATGCTGTTATCCGAATTCTGAGATACATCAAATGTGCTCTAGGAAAAGGTCTTGTGTATGAGGATAAAGGACAAAACCAGATAATTGGATACTCCGATGTTGATTGGGCAGGGCCACCCATTGATAGACGATCCACCTCTAGGTATTGTGTACTTGTTGGAGGAAACCTTATATCCTGGAAAAGTAAGAAACAAAATGTAGTTGCAAGATCAAGCGCCGAGGCAGAGTATAGGGCCATGGCAATGGCAACATGTGAACTTATTTGGTTAAAACAGTTGCTCAAGGAACTTCAAATTGTAGAAGCAAGACCAATGACACTTATTTGTGATAATCAAGTTGCATTGCACATTGTTTGAAAATCCAGTCTTCCATAAGAGGACCAAACATATTGAGATAGACTGTTACTTTGTCAGAGAGAAGATCGAGTCAGGCGACATCGTCACAAGTTTTGCCAACTCTAAGGATCAATTGACAGATGCGTTTACAAAATCCCTACGAAGCCCCATAACTAATTATATATGTAATAAGCTTGGTGCATTTGACTTATATGCTCAAGTTTGAGGGGGAGTGTTGATATTTGTAAATATATATAGTGTTAAGAATATTTGTATATAGAATAGTCCCATATCGACTATATCATGTAATTAGTTGTAATCTATATATATATATATATATATATATATATATATATATATATATATATATATATATATATATATATATATATATATATATATATATATATATATATATATATATATATATATATATATATAAAATAATGTTTCCATAGTGCTTTTCAAAACACACGATTTATTCAAATATCTCTTAGTCTCTTGTATTTTAAGATATACCTTTCCCACAGATCATTGTGAGTAAGGAAATCACAGTTGAACTTACTACTAATAAACTTCCAAGTTCCAATTTAATTTGTAAAACACAGAAAACAAACTATTTGAGTTATATCATAAGCATACCTGTTCATCTGTTGCATTTAACTCAATGAAGAGTTCAAAGGTAGAATTGACAACGAAGTCAGGCCGAGCAGAAGTTCTATCTATTTTATTCACAACCACAACAACCGCATGACCAAACTCTAAAGCCTTCTTTAAGACAAACCTTGTCTGCGGCATTGGTCCTTCGACAGAATCTACCTACACAAGCAAATAGAAGCTTGATAAATCATATATATTACAAGAGGCCATATTTTTAAGCTTAAAAAAATAAAGCATTTATATTAGAGAGAAAGTATATCACATTTTGTAGCAGAAGAAACCAAAACTGTGTCTTATAAACAAAATATAGAGCCCAAAAAAATAAGGATACACTATTACAATCCAAGTAGTTGAGAATTAAAAAATGGCAAGTTTATAAGTTCCTAGCATTCATAAATCCCAAACAAAATATTGATATATACATTAGGTATGCATAATCGTAATCATTCAGAATAAAAGTTAGATGAGATTCTTCTTCAAACACAACAATTCCTAGCACTTGAAACCATATATGAAAGACCTAAATTGTGGAAGTATTGAACCAACCTAGTAGAAACTACCACTCCTTCACACACCAATATGAAATACCACTCCTTCACACACCATATATGAAGGACCTAAATTTGTGGAAGTATTGAACCAACCTAGTAGAAACTACCACTCCTTCACACACGCAACCCCAACAAACAAAAAGAATATGGCAAAGTGCATGAGGGTTGTTGCATCAGTGAAAACAACTATCAATTCAATTGTGCATAAAGATAAACGATTTTCAGTGAATTGGAAAAAGAGTTGGAGTAAGTACCACTAGAAGGATTCCTTCGACCATATTCAAGATACGTTCGACTTCACCTCCAAAATCAGAGTGACCTGGAGTATCAATGATATTAATCTTGGCATCTTTATAAGTAACAGATGTATTTTTACTCAGTATAGTGATTCCTCTTTCACGCTCCAAATCATTGGAGTCCATTATCCTTTCTTGCACAGTTTGATTATCACGAAACACCTGCACAAAAGCAGCCAATTAATAAACATATAAAATCTATATTATCTCAAGTTGAAAACAAAATTCAATCTCAATTCTCAAAGAGAAAACAAGTTTATAATCGGATATTGTGATTTTGTTGTACCTTAGTTTGTTTCAGCATGGCATCAACGAGAGTTGTTTTTCCATGATCAACATGAGCAACAATTGCAATATTCCTAATATCTGCTCTTGTCATCAATTTCTTCTTCTCTGAGATTAAAATAATGAACAAACAAATTCAATCAAAACATGATAAAATTGCCAGCTATAAACAGTGGAAAATAGAGAGAGATTGAATTGAATTACCAGTTTTCGGCTCAGTGACTTCGGAAATTGAACATTTGATTGACCTATTGTTCCTTGAAGCAATTCGAAGAGTTGGTTTAGAAGAAGATAAAGGAAGTCCGAAAAGGTTGTTACGCTTAGAAAAGAAGAGCGGAGAAGAAGAATAATGCTTTGGAAGTGTCGTGGAAGAGAATAATAGAGAGTTATGAGAAGTGAGTGCCATTTTCTCCATTTTCCCTTACTCGCTCCCTCTTTCTGTAATGCGTTGAAGTTACACAGAAAAGAGAGAAAGGTGAGGGATTGGGGAAAGGAGAGTATGTGAGGCTATGAATGAAATTTTTGTATATTATCGTTGAGTTGGAAATGTAATATTAGTGGTACAGGAATGGATATGATACTTGACTGACTGTGTGGGAATTGGCCAACTAGGTTTCGTTTCGTATGGCTGACTTTCTTCCGCATCGTCTAATTTAACCATCGTTGTTACGGTAATGCGACGGCTAATCTTATCGTGAATAGTCATTTCATTACGTTACATGTAAATTACTTTACTGTTCCATTCGAAATTAATAGTGTTTTGCTTAATGTTTTAAAAATCAGAATGGTAATCAAAGGAGGGTATTGGTCGGCTGGTTTATTCGTCCAACTATTAGATCATCGGTCCAACTGCATAACCAAATCGAATTAAACCGGATAACTCGGTCGAATAGACTTATTGTTATAACAAAACCATATAAGTATAAAACTAGTCGAACCGAACCATTCAGTTTCTAAAAAATATAACTAACACTTAAATTTTTTGAAAATATCATATAATAAATTCATAAGTTCAAAATTTAAATTCAAATTTTAAACATAGATATCACACATAATAAAATAGTACAAAATTACAAAATCTACTTACAAACAAAGTTTAATGGCAACATATTCTAATTAAATAGTTTATAACAAAATAACTTCAATGTCTACGAAATTTAGTTCTAAGGTGGTAAACTTATTGTAATGTTGGGATCTCCTTCTTTAATATCGAAACCATCTACAACAAAATCAACCGCATCCGCAACATCTTCTCCATCAATGATATCATTACTTTGGTTGTTTTCTCCAAAATTAAGTTGTGCATCACCCTCAATGTCAACCTCGTCCAAATTTGATTTATTTATAACAACGCCAATTTAGAAAGTTTAGCAATTGACATATAGTAATAAATTAAAATAACAAAATTTTAATTCACAATTACTAATACCATACCAATATCATTTGAAATAGGTTAAATTCTCATATTAGCAAGATCTTTGTGTAGTGCTTCCACCTCCTCAATAGTTAAGGATGGTGGTGAATCCTCCAACACCCAATTAGAATGATCACCGAGTGTCTCAAAAGTGATAGGATCATAATTGTGTTTCTTCTTGTTTCTATAAATCATTAACGATAATGATAAACATAGAACCAAACAAACTTAACAAATTAAACAATAACATATATTCTTAGCAAACCAAACAATATCATATATTCATAACTATATAACTATAGAACCAATATTCTCATGTCATCAAAACGAAAACAAAATAGCCTTGCTTACAAACATAACCAAACAATAACATATTTCTTAACTATAAAACTATATCATATATTCTTAACTATAGAACCATAGAACCAATATTCTCATGTTATCAAGACGAAAACAAAATAGCATTGTTTACAAACAGAACCAAACAAACCAAACAACAACATATTTCTTAACTATAAAATCATATCATATATTCTTAACTATAGAACCTGAAATTTTGGCTAGCACACGATGAATGTTATTGTAGATGTTATGACATCCATTGTAACATGTACTACTGCACTTAATAATAAGATGTAAATGGAAAGCAGTAAATAACACAAGTAATTGTTCACCCAGTTCAGTGTCAACCACACTTACATCTGGGGCTACCAAGCCAGGGAGGAAATTCACTATCAGTAGAATTAATTCAAAGTCAAACAATCCTAGTTTGCACTCCTCACTTAAGACCTACCCAATGACACTTCAGCCTAGAGACCACTAGACCTGAGTATACCCACTCACTCCCCCTCAATCACCTCAGTGATTACAAAACACAATTACAAAACCAATATAAAGAGAAACTTCAAACACACCTTGATCTTGCTTCACAGCTTTGATCAAGGGACACACACTCTTGCTTAACAGCTTTGAGTGACTCAATGAACACACTTGTTCATACACAATAACCACAATAATTTTTACAGCATACAACTGCTTGACACACAAGGAATCTTAAGACTCCTAGACACACGTGAAGAACAAACCTCTTCACTCACAAACACACTCTATGATCTCTCACTAGATGCTCTCTCCTCTGTGTGTCTGCCCATTAGAAATGCTCCTTCTACTATTTATAATAGCAGACCTGCTTTGGGCCTTGGTAGAGAATTTAGGTTTACCCAAGATAAACCTTTCTTCATGAAGCTGCGCACTTATCATTAGGTCATAAGCCTTCTATGTTATCCTCAGCAATGCCTGTTATCTTTCCTAAAATAACTGTGTTTCCTGGTTTGTTTCCTGAAGTATAGCCTGAGCTAATAACAGAAAAACAAACTCTGCGCGCCCGGATGTCATACAATCAATGTCATAATATTCAGTCATGACATTCAGCTTCACTTACTCATAGTTTTCCTTGCATAACACTCTTCATGTATGTCCTAACATCAGTTATGACATTTACTCATACATTAATGTTTTGCCATAAAATGCAGCCAATCAAAAGCACTTACAAACTCCCCCTTTGGCTAATTTTTGGCTAAAACACCCTGTTAACATATCAGAGTTTACCAGCAGCATAAGTCTTAACCTACCATGCAGGAAAGCTACTAGCTACACACTATCAATGTTGTCTACACACACTCACACTGTTAGCTCTCAGGATCAACCTGTTCACAATAGCATCTGTTAGTCAGCACTACAGATGTCACAATATGTTGAGTGACATGTCAGAGTTTACTCCCCCTCAACTGATGCATATCACACCAGCTGTACAAAACCTGCAGACACCCTGCAATCACACATATTCATCCAGCCTACTCTGGATGTTACGACATTCAGGATGACATCCTGAAGCACACCTGCTATGAAACAACATGTGCTACTCCCCCTGAAGAGATGCACAACATTCTGCAATCATCCTGCAAATACACACATCACTAGCAGCTATAAGGCTACTAGGTTCCATCAAGGAACACACATCACTGCATACACACACTCCTTAATCATCAACTAGGAGCTCACACACTTCTAACATACATTCCTACAGAAATTAGGAACCCTCATCACTAACAGCATCAGCTATTATCACACATGCACATAAGCAAAATAGGTTCTTCAATCATGCATATTTGCAGCAGTACTTGTACCACACCTGCAACACACTTGTAGCAGCAATTCAGCCAAGTCTTCCACCTGTTGTTTTCTAACAACACTCTCTCCCTCTTTTTAGCCACAAATTAAGATCAAACCAATAAAATAGTATAGATCATAATGAGTAACATTACACATGTTTGGGGTCATTACAAACAAAGACTGCTCATGAAGAGCATCACACATTAATGCTGTCAAATAAGGATTAAAATCTAAAGCAAGAAAAAGATATCATTAGCCACACCAGCACCAGCAGCACACCCACATTAGCCCAGGCACCTACTTCCCGAGCCTCACAGCAGGCCATCAACACATTAATCCTCCTCTTCAGCAGAGTTGGAACTGACTTCCTCAGATCCTTCATCACTAGCCTCCTCAGAACTGGCAACAGCTTCCTCTGATGCTGCATCTTGGCCATCATCCTCCCCTGAACCCTCATCATTGTCATTAAATTCAGAGTCCTCGTCTAACTCAAGAGATTTGATCAGTTTTTCCAGATTCTGCTTCCTTGTATCCAATTCCTTGCAGGTTTGTTTGAGCATTACAATCACCTCAGCTTTTCTGGTATTGGGACTCCCTTTGGATGTCTCAACGGAAGTCATGACAATGTCTGGAACATGAGTTTCTTGAAAGAACTTGTGATAGAATGACATAGGATCCTCTCTCTTGCTGGCAAACTCGTTCTCTTTGAGGATGTTGGGATACTGATTCAATATAATGCCACAGATGAGTGAGGGAAATGCAATAGGGTCTTTGACACTATAACTTCCTGCATGCTTCATGGTCTGATCAAATATGTAGGCACCATAATTAATTTTGGTCTTGGTTCCAACAGCATAGATAAACCTTCCCAGAATAGTTGCCACTGTTGATTTATGATTAGTGGGCACCCAATTTGCAGCATCAATCTTGTGTAGCACAACATATTTTACACTCAGTTCGCTGGCAACTAGTTTTCCTTTTGATGGCCAACCTTTGACTTGGTTGCCAGTAATTACTTGACACACTTTGTTGTCAGAGGCAGTTATATCAGATTAAGCTCCATCTAATCTTCCAAGGTAGTTGTTAATGGTAGTGGAGGAGAAGGTGACGCATTTTCCTCTAACATAAACTTTACCAAATTCAGCAAATTTTCTGTCAGCACATTCATCTGATAGATTTACTATGAATTCCTTGACAAGTGTTTCATAGCATTGTGAGGACTGAGTCTCATTCTTCACCAAACCAGCATCATGGATAAGAGCCATGATCTCTTGGCTTTCAAGAGCATTTTGAGCTAGCTCTCTCTCCAAGGCCAGCCTCTTTTGATAGGCATACTTCCATCTGTTGACACTTGATGGATAGTGGAATGAGACATTGTCAATAGGATCATCTAGGACACTAGCAGCAAGCTTGCTAGTTGTAGGTTTCTTCTTTCGTTGGATGTCAGTGGCCTCACAGGCAACATCAGAATCTGATTCTGTACTAGTTTCAGCTTTCCTCTTCTTTGGTACTACTTTGCTCCAAGCTTTGGTAGGGCCAACCTGAGTTCTTTTGGTCACAGTCTTCTTCTTGGGGTTACTCTGGACAACTTCCTTCTTCCCTTTCCTAGTCATGAGCCTTTTGGCTATGCTAGGGTTGACTATGGCTATCAACTCATTGTCTGAAGACTCATTAGCATCATTTTCTTCACTTAGCATGTGTTCATTATCTTTAGAGACTTGATCCTTGTCATTGTCCTTTGGAGAGGTTGCTTCCAAGGTTTCATCATTGTGAGTGATATCAGCTTTTTCCTTAGTGTTAGGGGGAATGGATATTCTTGGCACATCATT